TAGGCATTATGAAGAGTTAGTAAGGGTATTATGGGAAAAGCCCAATTTGTGAGGCCCAAGACTAAGTTATACAAAATTGAGTTCTGAAAGGAAATTAGATTTCATTTTTGTTTAACGTGAAAGTTGGTGGCCAAAGCTCTGAAGGAAAGGCTGGAAGCAGAAGATCCCAAAGATTAATCGTGAAAGCTGCGAATCGACTAAGGTATGGGGAGTATCGCATTTCATGATTTTCTATGTATGCCTTTCGGTGTGTTTTAGTGGGGTTATGATTTAAGTTATTTTGAGTTGACTGTGGGAAAATAGGGAATTTGATGATAAGGCTTTGAGGTTAGGAGGAATGGTGTGTAACACTGAATATTGACATGAATTTAGGAAACCTTATCGGACTGTTTGATGTGTAACATGAGAAAGGAAACCTTAGGCCTTCGTGGCCAAAACCTTGGATTGTGATATGTTTGACCCTGTAGGAATAGGAATATGCAAATGTGAAGTAACTCTGATGTACTCAGAGCAATTGCAGGAAAATAGGGTTTTAGGCAGTGCAAATGTTGTCAGATTGGCCTAATAAACTATAGATGTTGTGTCGTTATTGCCGTATGACCTTAGAGATGTTTTGGGGATGTTTTAGGAGCATTGGGTATACGAATGGTATGAGTATTTTAGGTAGAGAGCATGTCTGATTGTAGCAGGTTGTGCTGTTATCGCGTTGTTCGCCTAGCGAGCAAGCTAGCGAACATTCTCTACAGACTCGCCTAGCGAGCAAGCTAGCGAGCATTCGCTACAGGCTCGCCTAGCGAGCTAGCCAGCGAGCGTAGCAAAGTTCGTAAATGTTGATCGTATGCAGCGATGTCGTGATGTTTGATTCTGGGATTCCTGTGATGGGTTACTGTGAGTATGACAATGATGTTGCGTGAGTAATAAGTGATAGTATTCAGAATTACCGCAAGTGTAATTGTGATGAATTAATATGAGGCAATGTGAGATGATATTAGGGATTAATATGTGAATATTATGTGATGATATGACGAATTAACATGAGTAGAACCGTGAAGTTTATGTGGTTGATAGGCGATAGTGTGAGGATTACCGTGAGTATAACTTGATAAATTAATATGAGATGATATGAGGGTAGTACTATGAAATAATATAGGGTAATATGGGATAATATGACTATGAGCTAATATGTGATTTATACGTGGTTATATGATGACATGATGTGTGAGATTAATTAATATGATGGACTATGATGATATGTTGTATGATGAATAATATGATGAATTATGATGATATGTTGTATGATGATAATGTGATAAAATATGATGATATGTTGTATAATGATGATTATTGTGATGACATATGATAACATGATGTATGATGATGATTGTTACGATGAGCTATTATGATATGATTTATGATGATGAATATGACAATGAGATATGACGTGTAATGATGATGAATTTGATGAATGATGATGCACCATATGTTGTTATTATGAGGATTATTGTGAAGTGTGCATCATGTATTCATGTGCACCCGGACTTCGGTTCAGAACCTCGATTACTTTGACTTCAATCCCACTGTGTGGATGTGAAGTATTTTGATGTGCTCCGATCCTGTTGATGGGAATCTATGGAGGGTTGATGGCCCAGTGTGCATCGCGTTGTGATGATTGGTACCACATGCATTGAGTCTATCTTGCATTTGCATTTATGAGCCTTTGTGTATAAATTATGACGTTGTGGCCTTTGAGGCATATTTGAAGGATATCAATGTGTTGAATATAACCATGAGTAATATGTCGTTTATGCATTAATTGTTATACATTGACTATTATTGAATTGTCTTACTCACCCTGCCTGTTTGAATGTTACCTCCACGTGGGTAACATGCAGATGAGCAAGTTTAGCCGTGGACGCCGTTGAGGAGTATTTTGAAGTTTTAGAGTCGTTAGCCTTTATGGTTAATTTAGAGGGTCTTGCTCTGATATATAACATCGGGTTGGGTTCTTTGGGTTGATTGTATATCATTGGGTTATTTTACTGATGTTCCCTTATGAGGAAAATATTGAGTTATGTTTTGAGTTCCGCTGTATATGATGTTTTGATGTATTTTAAGAAAACCCGAGTGTTACGGAGTATTGACCAATTTTGTTGACATTGAGAAATGTACGCCCTTTTGTGCCTTTTTATGAAAGTTAATATTTTACTCTGAAATCCATGTTATTTTGCCATAATATCTGTGGGGTAGAATAAGGATGTTACATATAGTATTTTTCCCTTGTGTCCACCCGCGCTAACGAATATGTTGGCCTTTGGGCGAGGGTCTCGTTGAAATGCCCTACTTTGAGACCATTCTGAAATGCTCCTACGAACATTTCTTAGTTCTGGTGGATGGCTTTTATGGTGACTTCGTTAAAACGAGCAAGGTATTCCCTCAGTGACTCTGAGGGGCTTTGTCTAATGTTAAAATAAATGGGTAGTGGACATCTTTCTATGTGTACTAGCTGCAAACTGGTGCACAAGCTTCTTTATCAACTTCTAATAACTGAAAATGGAAGCTCGAGGTAGTCCCATGTATCATCATAAAGTTGTATCCTTGAAAGTTTTAAACAAAATATTGCATTCTAGAGAGTCGGGCGATGATGGCCATTTCCATGTTGATGAAGGTTACATGCTCGTGAGGGTCGCTACGCCCATCAAACATTGCCAGGGAAGGAGGCTTGAAACCTACAGAAACAAGTGCTTCCCATACAAGGTTGGCCCAAGGGCCAAGCAACATAGCCTAGGGCTTTAGGCCTCAAAAGTTTGGGTTTAAAAAAGGCCTCATAATTTTTTTAATTTAGTTATACATATATAATAACACATTTGTTACATATATTATGATAATTGAGTTGGTAAAATGTAGGTCTCTTTTTCTTTTGGCCTTGAGTTCAACTCTTAACAACCACAAAATTATTATTTTAAAATACATTTTAAAGGCCTAATTTTAAAATTTGTTTTAGGCCTCTAAACGGGTTGGGTCGGCCCTGTTCCCATTTCTTGTTGGAGAAGGTCTGGAGATCCAACACATTCGTCTTCTCTATAGGGGTAGCTTTATGCTGGCTTTGTTAGATGTTAAGGATGTTGTCCTTTAAAATTTTATTTTGTCAACGTAATTCAATCACGGTGGTGCACATCTCCTTATGGCGTTGGAATTGCTAATACTTCTACTATCCTTTTGTGTAAGGAATTGTGCTCTCATAAAAACCATGATTGGGGACGGTTAGGGCTAGGATAAATGTTTTGGTGAGTGTTAAAGTAGTGGTGATAATGAAAGGTCTAACAAGGTCAGTTTTATTGTAACATCACTGTACTTGCAAACAAATGTGTGGTATCCTTACATTGTTAGGGGTGTCTAAAGGCTTTAGTATCTTTTGGTGTTAGTGCAAGCTCACGAGGTTGAGAAATTCTGTATTTTGTGGGTACTTTGTGGTTAATTCAAAACCTCCTTAATTTTAGGATTGAGGTATTTATAAAGGCCTATGAACCTGACATCCACTCCATCTTGAGTAAGGAACCTTATTGAATACCTATTTCTTAGGAATTGTGGTCGCAACTTCTTTTGCACAGGCTATGAACTACATACATGTCACTTACTAAACTAAGATCATGCCTAGTCAGCATACCCTTAAGTGGGTAGGTCCATATAATCTCCCATATAGATCTTTTACAAATATATTACTATAGAAAGTGAAATTTACCGACTTGCATAACACACTTAATAAATTACCAAAAGAAAAAAAAAAACTTAAATCAAAGAACAACTTATAAAAACTTAAAAATATATATATACACATCGATATAATTTGTAAAAAAGAAATTATTTTTTATGAAAAACTTGATTACATGTGGAAACTAGCTAACCTTTTAAGGCAAAAATAGTGGGATAAGTCAAAAGTATGTCATTAACTCCTATAATGCGTTGCATAATTCAATTTAAATATAATTTTTTCCATTGCTTTGTCACAGTGGGAGAAGCAGTTGATTATAGTTTCCCAAAAAGCTTATTTTGTATTTGGTAATGGCAGCACTAAATTGTAAATGTTGGAGTTCGTGAATGTTTTTTTATTATTGAAATCGCATTCGGAAAAGGGTTGACATTCTGTATTCATTTATTGTGGGCCAACTACATGTTCATTACTCAAATGAGATTTTTGTGTTCTCAGAATGCTTGATAACTTACGTTTCTATACTCACGTACTTAATGTATTTTGATTATGTTGAACACTTTTCAGGTACACAATCAATACAAACTCCTTTTTTGAGCACTTTTAATCGTTGCTAAAACACTAAATTCGTCAAAATAATATACTACACTGCCTCCATGACCAGATATCATTTCTAATTGAGACACAATCATATTGCATTTAGAAACCTAAATTCATGTAACCTATATGAAATGAGTTCACGTGACACACGTGCATTTGATCAAGTAAATAAGTTTTCATTTTACTGGATTAGGTACAGAAGGTGAAAATTATAGAGGAATTTACATGTCATATAAAACTAGGAAAACTTTTTACTAAAATTTAATATTCTCTTTAATAATGTAATGAAGAAATTAATCAGACTGTGAATTTGGATATAGTTAATTGTGTATTTGAACCGTAGTGACCTTGTGTTAAAGGATGTGGACAATGCATTCCGTATTTGTGTCAAAATAACATTTTTGTTAACTAAAGTTCCAATGGATCCAAGTACACATACTTCATAAAATGTAGATATAAAAAACCATTACTAATCTATGTGGTTACAATTTATAATAAGATTTAGATAAAGTTCCAATCATGGGGTATACAATACTACTACTCCATACTACTTTAGAATTTATCTTTGATCTCATTTCAAACAGTTTATTTACTGGACATCTCTATTTCTGATGCTACGACCTCTTTCATATAAAAATGGCAGCAACTTACAGGCTCCCTCGAACCAGAAGAAGTTCAACAGAAAGTGAATCAACTATCTACGGTAGCGGTGACGTTTGAAATTGAAGTACACATGCAAAATTCCACGTTCAAATGTGCACTTAAAACCTTTCTTGTGAGAATATTCCCATTCTTTGTTTACAATGCGGAAAGCCTGTCATGGAAGACACAAGGAAAATAAGATTTTTTTTATCGGCAAATGTTACAGAAGTTAGTGTGATCTTCCTTATCACTCCACAAGGAAACTGTTAAAAGTCACAAACTGTCTAGTGATCAAAAAGATTAGACTTACTATATCTTCATATGGTGGCCCTGCATGGAATCGTATAATGCAAGTCTCTCCATTGCTGCCATCTTTCTCAATAGTGTAGTTTGGGGCTTTTATCTTGTCTACAAGATCAGGATAGAAAATATTAAATTTGTAACCTTGCACAACCTTTGGAGGTGGGTTGTCATGATCATAGTGAGTCTGGTTATATTTGTTCCATTCATATCCCGTATGAACACGGTTGAAATACTTTGGCTTCCTTGGTCTGTACTTGTCATGCCACCAATAAACCTGCTCCAACATTAAGCAGTAGTGTCAATAACTTCAAAAGTGAAAAAGATAACCAGAATTTAGACAGTATTTTATTTCTCCTTGGAATACCAAAATACATTATTCAGAGTGCATTTGCTTCCTCCAGTGTTGGCTTTTATGGCAGAAAGAAGCAATTGAAGGATGTGGAAGGATGTTTTTTTAACAGTTGGCACAAGACTCCTCTATGATACCCATCCACATTTATAACTTATTATATCCAAATTATTCTATCCTATATAACGATATATTTTCTATCCAAGAAAAATTCCAAATTCTAAGAATCATGGAGTGAAATGATGGTTCGATTCCCCAAAGAGTGAAAATCATATATGTAGTCTAGAAACAATACCTGGGAATCAAGGCTCACTTCAGCTCCAGATCCAAACATTGCATCTCCATCCTCCATAGCTCCCATAGCTTTTATGGCTTTCATCTCTAAATTATCTTCCGATGGAGCAGGCTTTGATGCCATTGCTTCCTGAATTCGTCTTTGTTGCTCTTCTATTACAGCCATACGTTTCCGCTCCTATATATACCAACATACTGAAATTATAATTTCTATACTCATATTATAAGCATGGGGTCATCATTAAAAATAATAATTATGTTTAAAAATATTACCAGTATAGCTCTGTCCTCTTCAGGATCAATAGCTTCTTCATTTTCATCATCATGTAACAGTTGTGGCGAAAATGATCCAGCCTCGTCTTCAGCTTCTTGATTCTCTCTAATGGGCTCTGGTGAAAATGACTCATCTGCAGAACGGACTACCACAATATAGAAATACATAGGATGAAGATATAGATGGAGCCAATAAAAAAATTCTTGAACAACACAGCATGTATACCTTTAGCATCATCCTCAATATATGCCTCATCAGGTATCATGTCATGAGCACTCTCCGGTTCATCTTCATCCTCCAATGGTTGCTCAAGACGTTCCAAATGCTTACGCAACATTCTAGCATGGATTTCCTTTAAACAAGCCTATATTTCAAGCAAATTAATAATGCATTTTAGATAAAAACAAATATTTAAAGGAATCTAAGAGAATCATAGGAAAATAATGTGATGAAGAAAACCTTGGCCTTGTATATATGGAGGTGTTTTAAAATGGCTTCCCAGTACTCAACCACCTTTGCTGTACCAGTACGCATCTCTGACTCAATGTGAACCTGTAAGGCTTCCAACTCTGTACGTGTCTTTCCGTGTAAAAGGTCCTTCACATCTGGCTCAACACTGGAATGCAAACCCCTTTGTTCAGCAAGCAGCTCAGCAGGAGGTTCTTCTCCACGTACCCTAGCTCGATCAATTGCATCCTTTTTCCGAGATTCAGCAAGTTCCCAATCACATACCACGAGGAGAGCCTACAAGAAGTTGTCAAACAATAAGTCTTAGGCTTAGAAAAAGGTGCCAATCATAATGGCCAAATGTGTTACATAAAACAAGAAAAGGAAGAGATCATGAAAATCATTTAGTTCTTTTGATCTCCAATCCAACTCAAATTTTTTAGTAGAAATTATCTTGGATGCATTGTGTCAGATACGGTAAACCTTATCAACTACATAACCCGTGCAGAACTCAAACCAGAAATCAAACAATGGAAACAGGATGCTACCTCCCAGTATTCCACATGGGTTGGTGTTGCCCTGTCAAGATCCAGATGCATTTTGATGTCATCACGAAGTTCACTCATTTCTTTAACAGTCAAACCCTGTACCGTACATCAAATCTTTATTAAACTTGTTCAATAATATTAACATTCAAAGTTGCATATTTAAAACAGTTAAAAAAGGAATAAGAGAATGAAATGAAAAGGTATTAAAAGCTATATACTAACCTTAAAGACCATGTATGGTTCATTTATTTCTATATCCAAATCATCAGAACCATTGAGGTGCTTGGTTAGGACATCGATTGGCCTGGCACGCCCTTCACGCAATCTAATTTCTGACCTAACTTTGCTTTGATCAAAATGGAACTGCATATCAAATAGTCTAAGTCAACAAAAAGACAATATTATACTAACAAGAACAGATGTAAACAAACTCAGAGCACAGTACCTCCTCTTCCTTTTTTTCCCAGTCCTGGAACTCAGCTCGAGCACGTTCTCTAGCTAACAATGCCTGGAAGAAATAATTTGTCAAATGACAATAAGATAACATACTTTGTGACACCATTAATCTAACATTTATGTCAAGCCTTGACCTGACTCTTAACATATTGCCACCATATTTGAACCTCAAAATAAATATTGAGAGAAGTTGGATCATAGAAGCGCTGGTTACAGAAAATAACTGATATGAATCGATGGAATTTTCCCTCAAATAAATGAACTGATATGTAACCTAACATAATTGGTATGCCATATTAGAATAGAACCACAAAACTTTACAGTCACTAGATAGAAGATTTTCTTCTAACGGATTAAAATGATAACAGTTGAAAATTACAGATTAGATAAAGGAAATAACCGAACATATTTAACTGACAAGAATGAAAAATTGTGATACCAAACACTGATCCAAGAGTTGTTTAAACTAATATGTCAGGTTAGGTATAGAGCATAGTAATACACTACCACAAGTACAGCTATAAACAAGCTCAGACTTATAATAGTTAACACAACATGACTAAATTCCCATAATACCTATTAACTAACAACAAATAATGAGAGGGTTTACCATTTCTTCTTCATGTTGTGCTTTCTCAAGTGCCCTTTCCTCTCTCCTCTTTTTCACCTTTTCAATTTCTGCCTGTATTGCAATTGTGAATATAGCAACCGTAAGCAGCAAGAACATTTAGTTGTTTGGCCAGTAGTAACAGATCACAGAACCAATCAGATTGTGAAAACAAAGAAGAAACATGCAAAGCCTTATCTCAAGCACACAAGTTACCTAAATAAGGCTACTAAATAGCTGAACTATTATTAATCTATTCCTAGTTATGGTACAAAACCAGATCCCCAACCCAACCATCTCCAATGAATACTAATAAATAATTTGGAATAAGATTTCCAGGTACAAGCAATTTACTGATTCAGAATAGTATAACATTTTTTTGTGCACGTCAAATTTCATTCAATTTAAAATGGCAATTCTCAATAATAATTAAAAAACAGAATTTTCAAAAAGTGAAAAGATTGAATGAGTGGTAAAAAATAATCTATTGTGTACACTAGTCCAGAGGCAACAATAATAGGCACTGAGTTTTTGTAAAAATTATTTCCTACCCAGCAACTATTGTCATGTTCTAATGTAAAATCAAAGCAGAGATGTATCTATCAAGCCCTTCCCCATGAAATTTATATGGAATGTTAAGGAAGTGAAGCCTGTTATAAATGATAGGTTATATGATGAGGTTAACATTCCTAATATGTAGGGAAAAGGTCACGCTCTTAAATTTGTAGCAACACTTCATCCACCAGAGTTGTGTAAGTAAGATCCCGCAGAGGACTGCTACACCTATTGAATCCTATGGATTGTGTAAGTTTAATGTTCCCCTACCATTGACTTTTCTAACTCGTGTCATCTTATTATTACCCAAATTTAAACAACTAGACGGTCCAAGTGTTTATATTGGTACCAAATACCTTTATGCTATTATTATTTTAAAAATTCTACATTGCTCAAAGTTGTATGGGACATGTTGTTGAGGTTAAAGAGACAAGTATTGACTGGCAGGTATATCATTACTAGAGTGAGCTGTGGGCTTAGTGTAGTTCTTTCTTTTACAGCAGGCCCAGTGTTATTGTTTCTATCTACTCATGTCACGCTTACTTGAAATATCGTCTGTTAAGCTAAAGCTTAAAGCCGGAAAAAAAGAAAAATAATATAGCTGCTTCAATTCAAAACTCTAAAATTCAGAACACTAATCTGATACCAAGACATAAACACATACAAATAAGTAAAATTCTGGGAATGAAACGCATACCATCCTTTCTACTTGCCTTTTCTTCTCAGCCTTAACTGAAAAGGATTCAATAGATACACCTTGAGTAACATCGCGTTCAATTTTCTTGCGCCAAACAAACCTACAAATAACATTCTTGTAGGTTTATAAATCATATATATCTCCTTATCGGCGACCAGTACTTATCTGCAACATTTAAGTACACTTATAATAAAGAATCTAACAGAAATTTAACTTAATTATCAAACAAACAAACAAAAAACAATGAAAAAGGAAAAGAGAAGAGCATACTTTTCATTGAGATTAGAATCACCAAATGGATTAGAGTCATTGGAATAACCCGATACTGTATTAGTCTTCAATTTTTTAGCAACTTTTGTAGCCTGAACAGCAACAACAACAATAACAAAACAAAGGACTAAGCATAATATTCAACATATGAAATTAAATAATGAAATTAGTTATGAAGAATCAAGTTGAAACCTTTCTATGTGCCTTTTTAGCCATATACTGTGAAATTTCCTCTTCTGTGATTTTTCTCGAAGACTCTTTCTTTCTTCCACTTCTATCATCATCGTCACTGGACTCATCTGACTCCCGCCGTGACCGCCGACTAGTTCGACGGTGGTCGTCGGAGTCCGACACTGATGCAGATTCATCGGATCTTCTCCGTCTTCGACTTTTTCTACTACTACCTCCCGCCATTTCCTATGAAGATAAAGTAAACAACGTAATCATTATAGTTTCAAGAATCGCATTCGTTGTCGAATCCCTGAATTGTAGTTTGCGAGTTGTGAAGCTAAAATTGGAAAACTAGTTGTGGATAAAATCGATGACGGAGAAAAGGAGGAAGAACCTGTGGCGGTGGTGAATAGACGGTGACGACGGAAGAAGAGAAATATGGTGATGGACTATGGCGGCGTTGTTGATCTGAAACCTCTACAAACTTCTAAATAGTTATATATTTTTCAATGGAGTGAAATAAAGCAAAAGCAATACTTATCATATAATTATAATTATAATTAATAATTTATTTATTTTACTTATAAAAAAATTAATACGGTCGAAAAGATTATTTAATAAACTTAAAATGAGTTATTAATGAATTTCTTTTAAAATAACACTAATACAAGATCCGTGCCTATGCACAAGTAAGTTTCAATGTATAAAGTAATCTCCGATAAATATTTTATTTCAAAATAAAATTATAAAAAATAACAATTGAAATGCAGATAATGTAATATATATAACATTATCAAAATTACAACAATGAAAAATATAGTAATTGAAATAAACTTCATAATAGTACAAAGACTTTGAATAAAAAAGTTGTAAATTGTTCAACAAAGGATATTAAAAAGTGAAGTTCTAATAATTAGTAAGAACCTCATGTTAGAGGAATTGATATGCTAAATTGTAGAGATGACATAACCTACCTACATGTTTAAAGAATTGTGAATTAGGTATATATTAGAGTTATAGATAGAAAGATTGTTATTTTATCAAACAGATAAAATGGGATAGTAATAAGCATAATATAATTTGTACCTAGATGATGTTATAGAAAAGTTCTATGAAGATAATATTTGTGTGGTTTGAGGTAAGGAGTTATTATCTTTGGTGTGTATCAAAATTTTCAGACCGACTTTACTTAATTTTAGAAATAGCGACATATAGTTGTATGTGATTGAAAATATTCTTGGACAAATATAAATCGACATAATTTAAAGATTGACCTTAAAATTTGTTGATTGTCATAGCAAATGACACTATAACTAAGAATTGTCGCTTGATTAGTTTAAATAGTCATGGCAATTGAGAAAGAGACAAAGACATTTTCGGGATATATATAGTGTTTCCAATATTTGTATCTAAAATAATTTTTGCTTTGATTACATGGTTGGTCAACTTAGTAACTCTCAATCTTTTACCATTGCAAAACCCTTGTGATTGATTCAAATTTCTTATCAACATGATGGTTGTGTCAATTTTTAATTTAATGGAGTGGTTTGGCAGTCCAAAAGTTTTAAGACAATTTAAAAACACTGATATCAAAGGCTCAAATGCATCATTATTATTGACTTGTGATTTATCAATTGAATCACTACTCGAATATTCTTTGGAGTCACCTACCTTAAAAAAAAATGGTAAATTATTTAAAACTAAGCATCATGAAAATATAAAGACATCACATACCAAAAGAGATGGACTAACAAAGCATAAATTAGAAACAAATTAAATAACCATGTTGCATGTATATACCACAGCAACATCAATTGACATGAAGTCCAACGCTTATGTGATATAGTAGAAATTAGCATGCTCGTATATACAATTGCTACGTGAAAAAATGGATATCATGGTGTGCATAATATATATTGGTATAGAATAAATGCTGAATATGCTATAATGAGTAATACTTCTATCAAGTGATACTCTATAATAATTTACAATGCATTGCTGGAATATAAATAATTTATAATGAATAAAGTCATACTGCTATAATACTGCCATAATAAATTAGTCTCAAAAAGTGCTAACTATATAAATAATATTGCTGTAGTCACATTATTTCTAATGACTATATTAAGCTTTCAAATAGTGCGTACTATATAAATCGGAATTATTACAATAATGTAGTTACTTTAATAACATGATTTTGTCCAAAGTGATACTGCTATATACTCAAAATTTAATTGTAAATAGGTATTACTTAAATGTGATACTGTTATTAAAATTTAATATACTAATAAAAGATATATATGGGAGTTATGATTGTACCATCATTGCAAATCATGTGCATACAAAAGAGTGATATGTGAACTTAAAATTAGCCAGCATATTAATAATATAAGATTAATGAGTTATTTCGTTATTTAAGGGTGCATGTCACTCTTGAATAATGAGGTACAAATCAGTGCATTATTGTGCTATGAATGAGGCATATATTCAGTGAGTATCAGTGTGCATATAATTCATTATAATGTGAATCAGTTTATAGGCATTGCCTCCATGAAAATACAATTTCAGCTTGATGCCGCACACTTTGATGAGGGATATTTTACGGTAACAGAATAACTAATACAACATGGCAATTCATATTATAATGACTGTACTATCATTGCAATTCATGTTAAGACAAATGATTTATATGGGAGTTATGATTGTACCATCATTGCAAATCATGTTTAGACAAATAAGTGTAATATTTTTTAAATAATTGGCCAACATATGTTGAATAATATAATTTCCAATAAAACATCTCATCTAATAAAACAATGTTGACGCACGCCTTTCGTCTAGCTCTTGCATTCATTACTTGGTGGAGTACACCAATAACATATGCATCAGATAATGAAAATAAATAAGAGTTTAATGTTGTATGTATGCAAGTTAGTACCTTTTAACATTTTGTGTAATATGTAGATTTAACAAATATTGTAACAGATATGGTTTCATAACATGTTAGCATCATAAAATATTGTGTATTATGGATCAAATCAAATTTTGTGGAAGAATGAGATTCAGACTTGAAATTCATAACTAGTTATTTAGAAACAACATTGATATAAATCAGAAACGTAAGATTTTGAAAACAGAACTTCTACAAGATGAAACATGCTCAAAAACAAAAATGCTCGAATCAGGTATGAAATGGTTATGAAGGTCGTATCCGAACAAGTTATTCGAACCAACAACTAAAAAAAGAACGCAACCAAATATGAAGCATAACCGTGAGCGTTCTTCCGAGTTTGTGCATGTTTTACCGTACGAAATAAAGCATGGGAGATGAATGGGTTGAGTGTATTTCTTACTGTACGAAACAAAGCAGGGAGGATGATTTTGTTCTGCTGACAGAGGGCTTCCACCACCACCAATTGGGTTATGTCTGGTGGTGGAGGTGAGTCGCTTTTACTTAGAGATGACCCGAACATTATATCCCTGAATTACTGATGGCATTTGAAAGTTATTTTGGGTGGCCTAGGCAAATTTTACTGAGGCCACACGGTGGACGCCAAATATTCTTTCTAAAACACTAAAAGGTTGACTTATTCTCTATCTGTCTGAAGAGAGCCTTAGATGAATGGTTATGAGTATTTGTTTTGTGTATTGGTTGTCATTTCTTTCCAGAATATTCCCTATTTATAGGTGTCTCAGCTGACCTCTCCCGGTAACGTCTGCCGCCCCTTCATAAATATTCACATAATGTTTGACCCTTCAATGATTGTAACTCCTTGGTTGTAATGTATGTTTTCATAATTGTTCCCTATGACCTTTGGTGTTCTATCTGAGCTAATCATCCACCCTGCATAATTGAGTTTCTTTTCTTCCAAGGTGAGATCGATTTACTTCCAACGTATTAGTAGGAGTAGAGTTTTCTATTTCATACTCGATGTATCCCCGGGTTAGACATCGGTCAGTCAAGGTAATTTTCCGGGTATGTACACCTAGGTTTGTTGTTGATTTTACCACCTCCAAAACTCTTGATCAAAGATTGATTAAGTCACAAACAATGCGACTTCAATTCACCAGTTATTGCTACTACCTTAAAAGACCTCCTTGTCTCAAGGTTTTGACTCAATCGAATTAATACCAAGCGCACACTTGTTGAACCTAAGATTTACGAACACGATCCAACATCTCACGCTACTCCCTTGCAAGGCACCTCTTCTCCCAAGGCTTTCACTCGATCGGATCTGAATTGCGTAAGCTTGTCCAAAACCTTCAAATCTTCAATGATCTTGAAGGAAATCCCCAACTTGGTTTTCTTATTTGAAACCCTCAAAGAACTCAACCCAATATTCTAGGTACAACAACCTAATTAGACATTATCAACCATAATCTAGATGGTCACTAAATCAAAAAATGATTATGCGTAGTTTGATTGTATGTATGCATAGAAGAGAGATTGAAGATGATGAGTATGATTTGAAATCCTAGTTTCATGTAGGTTTTATTCAAGAACCTTACTATAAAATACGCATGTATCAAGTATATATATGTATATGTATGCAAGTTGGAGCAAAGGGCATGAAAAAAAAGGAAATGAGAAGAATGCAATAATTTAAGATTTTAGGTCAATAGGTTGACCTATCAAAGAAACATGTCGACTTATAAAGGTCTTAGGTCGACCTAAACCAGTCAGCACATAGGCAGAACCTCCAGACTTCAATATTGAAGTGTGCGTGTCGACCTATACACTTTATGCATCAATCTAATGTTGAAGAAACTCTTCTATAGGTCGACCTAAAGTCATATGTGTCGACCTATGTAGTGTTTTTCACACAAAAACTCAATTTTTTATGCATAAAAAATATTTTCTTAATGCATGGATCCTTTCTAAAACATTTCTAAACATGTTGACATGCATCCTAATGCTAAAATGTACAATGCACACCTATAATCAGTTGATATTGTCTAATGTACAAAAACGCTAAAGTTTCTCCTAGTTTTGACAATATTCAAAACATATATAAACGGAAAGATGCACTCACAATTTACCTTGGCATTGTAGTTGGAATGTTTGCTTTACCTATAAAAATTTCTTAGTTTATAAGGAGGATAGATTGAATGAACGTTGCTGAGAGAAAAACATCATGCGAGGAAGTAAGCTAAGTGGGCTGAGAAGTGGTCAGATTACCTAAAGAGTCACTTCGACGACTTGATGATAACGAGAAAAAAGACACCATTTAAAGGGGCAACTA